ACCGCCCTGGCACCCCCGAGCCATCTGCCACGGTGAGTGACCCAACCCCCAGTCACCTTCCCCAGTGAGTGACACACACCCCTCCCCCCGTACCGCCCTGGCACCCCCGAGCCATCTGCCACGGTGAGTGACCCAACCCCCAGTCACCTTCCCCAGTGAGTGACACACACCCCTCCCCCCGTACCGCCCTGGCACCCCCGAGCCATCTGCCACGGTGAGTGACCCAACCCCCAGTACTGCCCCAGTGAGTGACCCCCTCTCCCGGTACCGACCCTCCCCCCCCCTCGAGCCACCTGCCCCGACCCCCTCTCCTGATACTGACCCACCACCCCTCCAGCCACCTGCCCCAGTGAGTGACACCCCGCCCCCAGTACCGCCCTGCCCCCGAGCCACCTGCCAACCCCCCTGGTGAGTGACTTCCCTCTCCCAGTACCAGCCTCCCGAGCCCCCTACTCCGGTGAGTGACACCCCCCTCGGTACCTCTCAGGTGAGTGACAGAGACAGCCCCCTACCCAGATCTAGCCCCCTGTAGTATCTGCGTTGCCCATAGGACATGTGCAGATTGTGCAGAATCTTGGATATTTACTTTTTTTTTTTTTTTAAAGAACCATTCTAGCCCTTGTGCTTCATAGATTCATTGATTCTGAAGCCAGAAAGGACAATAGTGATGGCCCACACTGAGCCTCTACAGTAGCTAGGCCATTGCTTCTGGCTAGGAGAAACTGTCCAGTGCCTTAGAATGGAAACGCTTTGGGGCAGAGGGGCTGTCTCTTTTCTCCAAGTTTGTGCAGCGCTGGGTGCAATGGAGTTCTGGTCCATGGCTACACAATTCATATAATAATAATAATGGGAACTGACGTAGTGTTGCCTTCCTGAGTCTGCAGAAAGGCTGAAATGATGGCTGGAGGAGGTATGAAGGCCTCAGTCCTCTATGGGAGACAAATGCCAGTGTTAACTGTTTCAGAGTAGCAGCCGTGTTAGTCTGTATCCGCAAAAAGAACAGTAGTACTTGTGGCATCTTAGAGACTAACAAATTTATTAGAGCATAAGCTTTCGTGGGCTACAGCCCACTTCTTCGGATGCATATAAATTTGTTAGTCTCTAAGGTGCCACAAGTACTCCTGTTCTTTTAGTGTTAACTGTTGCATGGCCAATAAGCAGATGCAATAGGAGAGGTTGTGGAAATTGGCAGGAAAATCATTAGATGTGAAGAGCCACAAAGATGGGGAAGGAGGAGGGAAATCAGGAAAGGCGGGTGGGGAAGGAAGAGAAATAAAGGCCAGAGGGGGATGGGGTGGGGGAATTCTGCCCCCAACATGAAATTGTCATTAACAGTGGGACTCGGCTCTCTCCCCCAAATGAGCTCAACACCCCTGGCTTACATCAAGACACACAGAGAGAAAAACATAGCCCAAGGTCACACGGTGGGTTCGTGGCAGAGCCAGGAATAGAACCCAGGAGTCCTGAGGACCTAGCCCCCTAGGCCATACGACAGAGCAGCCTCCATTCCTCTGCGTTCTGAAGGTTTGTCTCCATTTGCAGAGACCACCCGGCTGTGATCAAGCGGCGATTCACCAGCGTTCTGATCGTCTCTGGCCTCTCACCACTCTTCGTCTGGCTCTGGAAGGAACTGACAGGCATTAAGGTAAGATTGTCACCTGGTCTCTATCGACTCCCTCCCCTCCCTCACTCTCTGCAAGTTGGGCTGCCTACCTGGAGAGTAGTCATGTGACTCATGTAGCAAGCTGGGACTTCCTTGCAGCTAGCCTGGTCCTTCACATCACCCCTCCTTCCTGGCTAATCCCATCAGGGAAAATCCTTTTAGTTAGTGCTGTGCCAGCCACTGCCTCACCCTCTGGCTCTGAGTATTGTATTACATGGGTGCTTGCACACCCTGATCAATATCAGGAGCCCCTGTCATGCTGGGGACTGCACAGACCCCCCCAGCCGAAATCAGGGCCCCATGGTGATAGGTGCTGCACAGGCACACAATGAGAGACAGGCCATGCCCGAAGAACTCACAGGCTAAACAGACACAGGGTTGGAGGGGAAACTAAGGCACTGAGAGGAGAAGGGACTAGCCCAAGGTCTCTGAGCTCTGTGCACTAGTCAATGGGGTGTGGGAGCTGGCTGCAAGGCTGGGCCAGGGGGTGATGGCCTGCATGGTCCTGATCCACATGTGTCTTGTGTTTTGCTCAGCCAGGTATATCCCTGCTAGTTCTGCTGGGCTTCCGACTGGAGGGAATCGTGCCAGCGACTCTACTGCCCTTGTTGCTCACCATGGTATGTGTAGGGCTAATGCCCTAGGGCTGCCCTGCACCAACCTGCCAGGCCCCTGATAGAGGCTTTGCTGGGAGCAGGTGCCTGCTTTCTCTTGGGGGCCATTGGTTTGTCTGTCAAACCGCCTTCTCCCCAGCCCTGCTTGCTGTAGCATACCAGCAAACACAGAGATGCCAGGCTCAGTGGTCTGCCCTGTGCTGCTGCCCTCGCTGCAGGGCATGGACTCCTCCATGGTGGGGATGTGGTGCAGGCTGCTTTGTCCTGACCTTGCTAGCAAACTGGGCATAGCAGAGCTGCCCCTCTGAGATCAGTTGGAAGGACTGTGACTCACTGAGCAGACAGGGCTTAATGGCCAGATGCCATCTCTAGAGGTGCTGAGCAGAGATTTCCAAACTGCCCAGGGGCTTTAGATACCCATTAAAATGCCAGGGAACCAGGCACCCAGATCCTTTATGTGACGTTTGAACAATGGCTGCTGTCTCTGTAGGGGGACAGGACTGACAGCTGGGGTAAACCTGAATGCCAAAGGGGACGCTCACTCAGCATCTCCTTTTCTGTGCCAGGTCCTGTTTCTTGGTCCCCTCATTCAGCTCTCGATGGACTGTCCCTGGGACTGGGTTGATGGACTGAAGGTCATGTTTGGTAAGGCCTTGCTATTTAGATGATGGTAGCATGTAGGAACACAGACCAAAATCGTCTCCTCTCATGCTGTGTGCCAGGTGCTGCGCAGACACAGTGAGAGACAGTCCCTGCCCTGAGGAGCTCACAGTCTAGCTAGACAAATGGTGGGAGGGGAAACTGGGACATGGAGAGGGGAAGGGACTCACCTGAGGCCATTGGCAGAGCCAGGATTAGACCCCAGGAGTCCTGGCTCAGCTCCGTGTCTCTAGACCACGCTGCCTGTAACAGCAAGCTGCAGGGAGTATTGGTGGTGAGCTAAGGGCACTAGGGGGCATAGGTCGGCAGAGCTCTGTCTCCTGGGAGCTGCTCAGAGCTAGTGGGAGTGCACAGGGACAAAGGAGGAGGTCCCAGAGTCATGGGAGGGGGCATCCTCGGCCTGGTCTGTGCTTTTTGCTCAGATCTATTGAGATGAGATACCCAAGCAGCACTGGGGAGGCGAGCTCTCTGTCAGGCCTCCACAGGACATCCCAGAGACCTCCAGCAGCGCCAGACACATAATGCTACCTTCCTTCTCCCTGCAGACCCCCGCTTCTGGGCGCTGTGCCTGAGTGACATGCGCTGGCTCCGCAACCAGGTGATCGCACCCCTGACGGAGGAGCTGGTATTCCGGGCCTGTATGCTGCCTATGCTCATCCCTTGTACCGGCTTGGGGCCAGCCATCTTCACCTGCCCGCTCTTCTTCGGGGTTGGTGAGTACCCAGCACTGCTCAGGCCCCCTGACCGAGCTGTCCCATGGTGTCTGACAGAGCTCCCTACCCAGCCACTGCAAAGCATCCAGGCAGGGTCAATAGTATGGCTCTGAGCACAGCTTCCATCCCCCGCCCCCAGGTTGCTGGGAGTGGTGGGGGCAAAGTCAGGGGGCATGGGACCTAGGCCCAGCATTGCTCCTTCCCACGTCACTTTTCCCCACCCCTCCTCTCTGTCTGTCTCCCTTCCTCTTCCTGTACCCAGTGGGGCTGAGGGGTTTGCACTGATCCCACCCCCACCCCCCCAGAGCAGCTTGGCAAAGGAACCAGTACCTACCTCCTCCCATACAGTGGGGGGAAGGCCGAATTCAGCTTCTCCGCTCCTCTCCCCAGTCTCACTGAGCACAAAGCAAGCCCTTCTGAGCTAGGGGTGTCTATCTTGGGCACAGGAGCATGGATTAGAACTCTCAGCCCTATGCACAACCCCCTGCCTGGTGCCCATTAGGGGCCAGCATGCTCACAGAGACGGGGAGCAGGTGCAGGTGGGGTTGGTGCAGCCTGGTCCAAGCAGGGTTCTCCTCAGATCAGCTCCTGCCAGTGGAGGCTAGGGAGGGGGTGCCGGGCTGGCCACAGGCATTGATGGACATTTCCCTCTTTCAGCTCACTTCCACCACGTTATTGAGCAGCTACGGTTCCGCCAGGGCAGCGTGGCCAGCATCTTCCTGTCGGCAGGTAGGAAATGGTTGCCAGGATGATGGTCCTGAACTAAGGACCCCTAGACCAGCACTACCTTAGCCTGCTCTGGGTGCAGCTGGTTGCGTGTGAACCTGCTAGCATTTCCTCCTCATTACCGGGGCAGAGGTAATTATGGTCAGACCCCTACCTAGAGCAATCACACGCATCTAGCCAGCCCTGGAGCTCCCCTTCGCCGGACTCTGGCTCTTAACTGAGGAGAGTCCCCGTCTGCCACCAATGATGTGTGCCTGTACCACAGGTGTGGAGATGCAGCCATCTCTGGGGAGAGGAATATGTATTGTCCCACTGTATTGGAGGCTGTTGGGTCAAAAGCACAATGAGAGCAGCGCAAGTTGGCTGGGAAGAGTTTGGAGCGAGTTGTGGGGGTGAACAGCAGCTTCCCTCCAGAACAGCTGGTGAAGTCTGGAGGGAAGCTGCCAGTGGTGAGCAAGGCAGCAACAAGCACCAGAAAAGAAGGGATGCAGTAAGTGGGGAGCCAGTGGATACAACCCCGGTGATTGAGTTCCATTGTCAAAGGGGAGCTAGTAACAGAGCTGAAATAGCCACTAAAGGGATAATACCTAAAAAAGAGGAAAAGTTCAGGGAAGACCAATGAAGGAAATAGAGCTACTAAACATCCTTTAGACAAGGTGAAGTGACAGGAACAGAGACTTTGGCAGAGGAGGGTTAATTGTTCAATCAATCAGGAAGCCAACACATCAAGGAATACGTATCTTTATTGAAGCTGGAACTCAAAACAGTATGAAGGGTGGAGTTTATGTTCTAGTCCATTGTATTTTCTAAATCAAAATTCTTTTGTTCACTAAATGTAAATTGTAATCTATAAAGTGAGTTTAATTAACATAACTTTAGTTAGTTTGGCCTCTCTCTGGATCCCTGGTGGTGAGGGAAGATGTGGCAACCCTGTTTTAAGCGCACACATTTTTTTGCCAGAAGTGATCAGTGGTGATGCTGTATAAGGGAGTTTCAGTGGCTCTCTCAAAGATTCTGCTCTCTCCTGCAGCTTTCCAGTTCTCATATACAGCTGTCTTCGGGGCCTACACAGCGTTCATCTTCATTAGGACAGGTCAGTGCTGCAGGTTGCCTTCCTGTGCAGGCAGAGTTCCCTCCCCAGCCTAGCATGGAACCACCAGCCATTTCTCTACCCTCTACCACAGGGGCTCTAGTGAGATAAGACCAGATGCCTGTCTTGGAAAGAGTCCCTTCCCCTGTTTATGCCATGTTCCTCCCTTATAACCAGTTGGGCTCCAGGGGTTTGCCTCTCCCACAGGGCAGCCTGCACCCAGACTCCCACCCCCCTTGTGTCACACATCACCTCCATATAACAAAATTCATTCCACACATGAATGTAAAAAATTAGAACACTGGCTCCAGTCCCCCCAAAGCGGAGTCACAGGGCTGCTTCAGCTCATCTCTAGGCTTATGAATGCATGGTTGTGGCACATTGTGGGTTTAAAAAAAAAAAAGGTTCTCTTCTCCCATCCAGGACACCTGATTGGCCCTGTGTTGTGCCACTCCTTCTGCAACTACATTGGCTTCCCTGCCATCTGTGCTGCCCTGGAGCATCCCCAGCGCCTCACTGTTGTCATCTTCTATGTGCTGGGCATGGTGCTCTTCCTCCTGCTCCTGCACCCCATGACTGACCCAGCTTTCTTTGGAGACGTCCCTATTTGCTCTCTGTCTGCAACCAGCTCTGGCTTCTCTGTGTGCTCCTGACACCTGGGGCACGGGTTTCAGACCCGACACCCCTCCCCCAAGAGCAAGAGATATATTTTTTTATTATTAAAGTACTTTGGAAGACGTGCTAACTTGTCTTTCTATTACTGATTTTGAGGGCTGCTACAGCAGGCCCTTCCCCCCCTCCCAATGGGTAACATCATTTAAATCAGTTTCTGTACCGAATGACTGGAGGATAGCTAATGTGACACCAATTTTTAAAAAGGGCTCCAGAGGCGATCCTGGCAAGTAGAGCTTGGTAAGCCCGACTTCTAGTTAAGAACACAATCGTCAGACACAGGTGAACAGAATCTCTGGGGGAAGAGCCAATCAACAAGCAGGTGAACAAAAAGGATCCAGAGCACTTAAATGTTCGGAAAGCCTTTTTAAGCGAGGTAAAGTGTCATGGAATGAGGGGGGGAAGGTCCTGTCATGGATCAGTAACTGGTTTAAAAGATAGGCATATATGGTCAGTTTGGGGAATGGAGAGAGGTAAATAGTGGTGCCCCCAGGGGTGGGTCTGGACTGGGACTAGTCCTTTTCATGAGCTACAACAGGATCTCTCAACATATCTCAACTATGCATATAGGACCTGGGGGGGAGGGGGTGCAAATAACATTAATAGGCAGCAGGTTTAAAGGGAAGTCTGGACTAGAGCAACCATTGCTCTGACCCCGTAGGGCCATTCTTACGAGTTTTCCAGTAAACCCTCACTTAGGAGCAACCTCAGCACGCAGGTTTTCATAACTGCCCACCACCTTAGGGGGGGCTTTCAAAAGTCTACACCTGCCCATTGTTAACACAGCTCCGGAACTAGCGTGCAGACGGAAAGGTCGTAGCTTGGACTCTGCTGTCTCATTGCCCCTTCTAGCAAATCAAACAGGCAGCCACTTGCGCCTGCCCCGCTGGGTCTGAGCCTCGCGGCTCTGCCCTTCCCACTGCCAGGCAGCGCCCCTCGCCCCAGCCGGCTCGAGCTGCTGCCTGGGCAGGGCCCAGCCGGACCAAACAGCGTCTCTTTGTAACGAAGCTGGGCCTCGGCTGCCACGCGCCGCCTGTAACTGAGGGCCGGGATCGGGCCCCGGGGAAGGGTCCCCGCGCGGGGCGGGCGGGCGCTCTCTGCGTTGCAGCTGCTGCCTCTACTCGCTCGCGCGCAGGCCGCTTCCGGGCTTATGCCGCCGCCCCAACCAATACGAGCGGAGCCCCCTTCCCCCCGTCTCCAAGGGGGCGGAGAGAGCGCGTGCACCATGACGCATGCGCAGTTTCTCGGGAGAGGGGTGTTTGGTCCTCCTGCGTATGCCCGTCCCCAGCCAAGTGGTTACTATATCTCGGGCCCTGCGGAGGGGAGGTATATGGGGGAGAGGCAGATTTCTGTGTAGGGGAAGATCAGGGATCCTCCCGCCCTCTGTAGCAGGGAGCTCTGCCTAGGAGCAAGTGATGCTATTGTAGGAGGGGGCACTACCCTATACCGCCTAGTAGCTGCTGCTGTTAGAGGCGATGCTAAGTAAAAGCTTACACCGGGTGGGGGGCAGTCCCTCTGTAGGGGCCTGCACATTGGATAGGGGAGGTGATGCCTGGCTATGGGGGGCGGGGGCTCGGTAGCAGTCTCTCTCCTGCACCTTAGAACATCCCAGCTTTGTTTCACCACCATGAAAGACCGTTTCCACTCTCACTGGCAGCATCACCAACAGGCTGTGCTCTGCCCTGCAAACTCCCCTCCACCAAGAATCATGGTTGGTGTGGAGAAAGCAAATGAAGTGTTATTTACCCCTTCACCCAACACACAGACCAGGGGTCACCCAATGAGTAGGCATCAGGCTTAAAACAAACATAAGGAAACACTTCACACAAGGCACAGTCAGCATGTGGAACTCATTGCCAGGATTGTTGTCAGGCCAAAAGTATAAGTACCCAGCTTCAAAAAAGAATTAGCTCACTTCGTGGACAGGGCCGGCTCTGGCTTTTTTGCCGCCCCAGGCAAAAAAGCCTCCCGCCACCCCCACCCCCCGGCAGGGAACACAGCAGGGGAGGGCGCCGAGCCCGGCCAGGGCCCTGCTCTCCCCAACCGGCCCGAGCGCCAGGGGGAGGGCGGAGAGCCCGGCCGGGGCCCCGCTCTCCCCGACCGGCCGGAGCGCCGGGGGGAGGGTGGAGAGCCCGGCCGGGGCCCCGCTCTCCCCGACTGGCCGGAGCGCCGGGGGGAGGGCGGAGAGCCCGGCCGGGGCCCCACTTTCCCCGACCAGCCGGAGCGCCGGGAGGAGGGCAGCGAGCCCGGCCGCGGCCCCACTCTCCCCGACCGGCCGGAGCGCCGGGGGAGGGCGGTGAGCCCACTGCGGCTCCGCTCTCCCCGGGTGAGCGCCGCTCCCCTCCAGGTGCCGCCCCAAGCACATGCTTGGTAGGCTGGAGCCGGCCTTGTTCGTGGAGGATATGTTCCTCAATGGCTAGTAGCCGAGATGGTTAGGGATGCAACCCCATGCTCTGATTGTCCTTAAACCTCTAACTGCCAAAAGCTGGGACTACAGGGGATGACTCATTTGATAAATTGTCCTGTTATGTTTATTGGCTCTAAAACATCTGGCACCAGCCACTGCTGCAAACCGGAATAATGGGCTAGATGGACCATTGGTCTGAGCCAGTATAGCTGTTCTCATGTCCTAATGCCGGGGAGCTGGATCCTGGGTTGGAATCAGCAGGGCAAAGATTTCTGACCCGAAGGGGCTTGAGTCTCCTGCAAAGGCCAAGCAGGGCCAGCAGCTAGGAGCAGATGTTGGGCAAATCCACACAGGGAACAAGAGGCAGATGTTTAGCAGGAAGGGTGAGTCCTCAGTGGGGCAGCTCCCCCTGGGGCCAAGTTAGGGTGGCGGGATATGCTTCATTCCTTGGGGGCTTTACATGCAGGCCAGATGGCCCTAAAAGCCACCACAGAGCTGAGCTGGAGGCAGGAGTAGCTGTGGGAATCCTCTGGCTTAATGCCCTGCAGGGAGTCCGGCTGGGGACTCAGAACAAGTCCCTCTGGCCTTGGAATCCTTCCCCACACTAGCAACAAACAGCCCCACTGTGTGGGAGCTCAGAAACGTACAAGGATCTTCTGGTTTCACTAATTGCATCTCCTTACTTTTCACTGCTTTGACACTCGTTTATCTAGCAGCAGTCTTGTAGCACTAGGGCCACTCCCAATCCAGTGTGGTAATGAATCAAACATAACACGTGTCAGGCACAGGCGCCAACTTTTCCCAGCGCTGGTGGGTGCTCGCCTCCAGCACCACCCTGACTCCACTCCTGCCTCGCCCCCATTCCAACCCCTTCCCCAAAGTCCCCACCCCAACTCCAGCCCCTCCCTGCCCCTATTGGACCCCTTCACCAAATCCCCACGCTGGCCCCGCCGCTTCCTGGAGCACCGCGTTCCCCCTCCTCCCCCCTCCCTCCCTCCCAGCACTTGCCACCGCCAAACAACTCTGGGAGGAGAAGCGGGGACGTGGCATGCTCAGGGGAGGAGGCGGAGTGAAGGTGAACTGGGGCGGGGAACTGCTGGTGGGTGCAAAGCACCCACCAATTTTTCCCCATTGGTGCTCCAGCCCCAGAGCACCCACAGAGTCAGCACCTATCCCAGGGGAGGTATTGGCTTAATTTTACCAACAGAGATAACAGTGTCTACACTACTGCGGTAAGTTGACCTATGCTATGCCACTCCAGCTACATGAATAACGTAGCTGAAGTCGACATACTTAGATCGACTTACCGTGGTGTCTTCATTGCGGTGAGTCGACTGCTGCCGCTCCCCTGTCGACTGCCTGCGCCTCTCGCGGCGCTGGAGTACAGGAGTCGACTGGAGAGTGCTCGGGGATCGATTTATCGTGTCTAGACTAGACATGATAAATCAATCCCTGCTGGATTGATCGCTGCCCCCAACTCAGTGGGTAGTGTAGACATACCCTCATTGGGGGTAGAGTACAGGAGTGACTGGAAAGCAATCTGCTGTTGATTTGGCGGGTCTTCACTAAACCTGCTAAATCGACCGCCGATGGATCGATCCCGGTTGTAGCATAGATGGTGGGTGGCTTCCCCAGGATCACACAGGGATGAGGAATAGAGCCCAGGAGTCCTGTCTGCCCTTTTCTAAGCACTAGACAAACCTCCCCTTCCAGAGCTGGGGCTAGAAGCCAGGAATCCTAACTGCCAGTCATACCACAGTAAAGAAACTATTTAAAAAGCCCCCTTCCCCCACCCCAAGGCAGCCACAATAAAAAACACTCAAGTCACCACAACCTTAATTAACAGGAAAAAGAATTCTTAGGACCCCACCTGCCTCTCTCTGCTACATACACCTCAAAGAACTACACTGGCAAATGGCTTACTACTGCATGCACAGGGGCTTTTATACAAGGCTCCATTCCCATCATGCTCAGCAGCAGAGGTAAGCCCATCCCACTTGCCCCTGAAGGGCTGAGAACCAGCCAATCACTGCAGCGTTTATTTTTCCCACTGTACCAGGCTTTCCTTCACCTAGAGTTACAGCATGTGTTTGTCTGTGGTGACAGAGCACACAGAAATTCCTCCCCCTCCATCCTCAGCACCCTCTGAAGAAATGGGTTGTGCCAGGAGCCATCAATTCATGGCATTAGGCTCCAGGCAGGGAGCTGGGAGCAACAGAAGCACCAAGCCCTGCAGGGAGTGACTCACCCAAGGCCACACAGAGCTGGGAATAGAATTCAGGCCTCTTAACTCCTCAACACTGTAATCCACTAGATTCCACACACACACCTTATGAGCTAGGACTCCTGGGTTCTATCCCAGCCCTGCTGCAGGGATGGGTTCCTTTTTGGATAGACACCCCCCACACACACACCCACACACCAGCCGTTTAACCACCACCAGATATGGCACACAAGTGACATTTTACCCTCACATAAAGCCCTTCACAGCCTAGCCCCAACCAATCTATCACCTCCCATCCGCTATCGAGAAGGCAACAGTCACCTGCCATCAGCCCGTAACACCGGCCTCCATTGCCCACTTGTTACATTTCCAATCAAGCCCCTTGGTGCTTTTTCCTGCACTGCCCCACCCACTTGGGGGGAGCTCCTCATAAACATC